TGTTTCACTTTTCTGGAGAATACTGGGTGGATGACTGCACCCAACTTGGTAGTCAATATTGATGAAAGCATCATCCCCTGATTGTCAACAAATTTGACAATCCCTGGCCTCCAATAATGCTGCCATGTCAGATTATGAGTCAAGCTAACAAAATGGCATTCCTGCATACTGTACAGGTTGTCCTTGACTTACAACAGTTCATTTAGTGATCATTCAAAGTTACAACATTACTGAAAAAAGGGACTAATGACCATTTCTCACACTTATTGCAGCATCCCCATGGTCATGTGATCAAAATTCAGACTGTTGGCAACTGACTCATATTTATGACCTTTGCAATGTCTTGGGATGATGTGATCCCCTTTTGCGACCTTCTGACAAGCAAAGTCAACGGGGAAGCCAGATTCACTTAACAACGGTGCTACTAACTTAACAACTGCAGGGGTTCACTTAACACTTGTGGCAAGAAAGGTCATAAAATGGAGCAAAACTCATTTAACAAATGTCTCACTTAGCAACACAAGTTTTGGGCTCGGTTGTGGTCTTAAAGTTGAGGACTACCTGTAACTCAAACAAACCATGCTATGATTTCGTAGCTCCCACTACATCATGAGCCACATATTCAGTTTTTGCCTAGACTAACATGTCGTATGAATCCAGACATAAATTCTTGCATTAGATTGATTTGAGGGAAAATGAGCTTCTGATTCTTGGCCCATCATTCTGCTGAGGAAGGGCTAAGAGAGAACATTCCTTGCATAGGTATAATATAAAATGTACATACTTTTTTTATATCTTGTTCCTTTTTGTGCTTTTTCTCTTCTTAGACTATGTGGATAGAACGTACCACCTATACAACCGCCTACTCTTTCCCTGGAATCCTCAAATGGTTTGAAGTCAAGCAAGTCACTATGGTGAGAAACTTTCATTGCCATCTCTAATTCACTGCCATCCCCAACTTGGTAGCCTTTAGATGTCTTAAATTTTCAGCTAATTTTTGTGAGTTTGTGAGCTAAGAATCGGTTGTAGCCCACCAGCAGTCAGTGGAGCTGGCAGCAGATTCGGACAGTGAGGAGGTTGGGGAGGAACATGAGCCAGTCCTGGAGCCTGGGGAAGGTTCTGGTGAGGGCTCTGTGTCCAGGGCTGTCTGACAGTTATCAGCTGCCTTCTGAGACAGACATCAGTGAGGCAGAAGAACAGCTGGAGCCTGTTCCCTGTGTGTGCATGTGCAGAGTTGCCAGACGAAGGGAACAGCTAAGGAACAAGGGTTGACTTGGGAGTAAGGCCACAGGTGGATGGTAAATGGCCCTCCCAGGGGAAATAAAAGAGGAGCAAAAGGGGAGTGGAGTTTGCAGGAGACAATTAGTTTGCGTAATTGGTTCGTGACTCTCCGAGACTCCTTGCCAAGTTTT